GTCTAGGTTGATCAATCTAGACGGAAGTCAACCTAGACGGAATTAAGAATTCCGTCTGGGTTGACAACCCAGACGGAAATCCGTCTGGGTTGACAACCCAGACGGAAATCCGTCTAGGTTGGTTTTTTACAACCTAGACGGAAATTCCGTCTAGGTTGACTCAATATAGACGGAATTCCGTCTAGATTGCCTTTTTTCAGTGAAAAAAAAGTTAATTACAATTTGTATTTCCCTGTACAATTACATTAATATTTGAATACATCCAGAAAATACTGTACACGTCACATTCAACCATCCAATCATAATCAAAATTCATAACAATTCCATTCAAAAACATCTATATAACCAAATCCAACACATTGTACAAATCCAACCATCCACTTCAAAATATACATCAATCAGTTCCGTCTAAAACACATCCAACAACATATATACTAACAATGCACATGACTAAGATATGATACACGACATGAATAAATGTAGTGTTATAACAAATAAAACTGTTTATTGCATTAAAAATTAAAAACCTCATCCATCGTCGTCGGCGGGGGTATCTCTATCCCGATTACGAGAACGGGTGCTGCTCCCTCCAATATCTCCACTCTGAATGTTTAATTGAATAATCATTATGTGGTGTTTGATAACATATTAGATAAAAATGAATTTATAAATATAAGAAAAAATAAGGTACCTGAGCACTACTCTGTCTAGCGCCGGAATTATCGCCAATCGAGCTAATGATCCGTATGACACCACCATACGTGCTATAAGGAATAGCACCGCCTAAATATTGTATAACATACCCCATGAGATCGTCCATCGAGTTCGCCGTCAGCGCAACTCTAGTCATCTCATTAGTCACCTGAATATGCAGCTCCGGGTCAATTTTGTCAATCAGATACGCAGAGATACGTGCGACAAATGGCATAGCCTGGAAACTGCTTGTGGCTGCTCTATGCGATGTAGATGGTGTGGAGGATGTTGTGGACGATCTAATGCTTATACCGGGTGAAGCTCCGACACCATGCAGAGGATATCTTCCTCTCCTATTATTAGGGAGAAATAAATATTAAACTTTGCTCTCAAATTCAATAATGGTAAACAAATATAAATAGTATGTAGTATTCAAATTGATTCGATTTTTCACCATCCTTACCTATTATGACCCATCAGGTTCTGTGTGAGATTGATGTTCTCCTCTGCAGAAAGCATGTGAGGGTCTGGCTCGGTTTGTTCCTCCTCCTGCGAAATGTAGACAGATGCAGCCTCCTTGGATGCGGTCTCAAATCCCTCCTAAAGCACAAATTTATAGTTAATTCAAGATAATGACCATATTATTTGTGTTCTCGTTTCCTCGTAGTGTTAACAAAATAGAATTAATAATACTACTCAAGATATGTATAAGTCTCACCACTAACTCGAGATTTGCCGTGATCTTATCCCGATTCCTCTCATCACCCCTATATTGTTCACGAAAAGTACCATATGCCGCTCTGGCCCTCAAGTGTATCGGCATTAATGATTTCCCCTGTCATATTATAAATTATGAGATTTCATAATCATACTAAACATTAAGATCTTTTAAATCTTTAAATGACATATACCGTATCTTGACAATAAACATCCTCCAGATTGGCGTAGGAGTGTGAGCCCAAGTGATGGTCATGCAGCTTCTTTCTTCTATTTTCTGACCCCTTCGTGGATTTATTCTTTAAAAAAATTCTGTAAATATAAAATGAAATAATATCTTAAAATTATAAACTAAATTTCATGAAACTAACCTTGGCGGCATCGCTGTCCCAATACATGAGGAGAGCCGTGAAATGAATCTCGTCAACTCGGTCATCGAGGTTTAAAAACCTCTGCCAGTCCTCCTCATACCTGTCATAGGTTTCATGTTTGATCTCATGCCTCCATTGTTTGAGGACTGCTTCAACCTTGACATTAAACACATAATTCCAAGCCCCCTCAAAGTCCTCAAGGCAGAAGCAGTCCTGTAGATTTACATACACATTTAGTAAGGATAATTTAATATCAATTACTAATTATTAATAAATGAAAATCTAAAACAATATGCACTTACCATAAGCGCAGTCCATATCGCCTCGTATGCGGTCCATGGTAATTCTCGAAAATGAAAATAAGGGTTGATAATGGTCGCTCTACGCACGAGAACCCCAATATATGCATTCAATCGGGTTGACCAAGGACCAACGGGCAAATTAGAACTATTCCACCTAATAATGCCCCTCATTCCTCTTGGCGGTTGTTTAGAATCAGGCTTACCTCCGCCACGTCGTCCCTCTATGCGATCCTTCTTAGCACCTACAATAATGACAACATGATAATATATCATATAATATACAAATGTCAAAATTAAAAGTATTTATATAATTTACCATTCGCTATCTCTCTTTCTTTTGCTGCGAGTGCAACAGCTTTCCTAGTCTCCAACATAGGAAGCATTTCCTGATACCTTCTCGCAGCACGTGGGTGGTACTTCCTTGAATCAGCCTTGGACTTATGAGAGTCCGGAGGTAAAGGTAAACTGAGAAAGTCCTGGGTCTTTGGCCGCAAGTCAGTATGGAATGTATATGATGGATATGTCGGGGTCCAAGTAGCACCTACATAAGAAAGAAGAATCATTAATATTAAATTTTAATTGAACATTATCAATTATTAAATATTTAATACCTGCGTCGGGGGATGGTTCTGGTGCTGCATCAGAGGGGCCGGGTGATGAATATCCAGCATCTACAACAAATGAACACTATGAGCTAGATAACTAAAAATTTATAAAACATGTTAAAGTATTAATTAATTTTTATACCTGCATCCGGAGATGGTAGTGGATCATCAGCACCACTACCTGGGGTGATACTCCGTGAGCGATCACCCTCCAGGTCAAAGAGCCTCCTCATCCTCCTCCTTATCTGCAAATATAATAAAGACAAAAGAAAAAATTGTATACATGCTCATGAGATATGTTGTTATGAAATGCATTATTGTTTTTATTATGATAAGATAAAAAGTAATAATGTGGTGTAACATATCAGGTTCATACCTACATCCAGCGTCACATTCTGTACGTAAGAGAATTCTTGCCAAACATCATCAGATGCACCGATTGGTTCACTATAATTATCTTCACTTTCTTTAATATTTTTTTCATTGTTATTTGGAAGAACAACAGATCTTGGCTCCTTGTACAAAACCACCCAATCATACATGACATTCGGATCTTTCACATAGAAGCACTGATCAACTTGTTCTGCGAAAATGAATTTCTCATCCGTATATACTTCTCGGTGAAGATTGACTAGTGTAAATCCATAATGATCCTTTTGCTTTTTTGCAGGACACCACCGAACCTTGAACATCGTGTAAGTACATTGTTTTGGTTAACCAAACCCGTAAATTACCTCAACGATATCTTCTAATTGGCCATAATATAATATGTCAGCTAGAATTAGATTCTGATCTCTTATACTTCAAAAACATTCTTGGGCAAACAAGCCCATGACCCCACTATTCTGAGTTACCCTCCTATCATCGGTCTCTAACGTTCGAAATTTATATCCATTCACCTAATGCTCATTATAACGTCTCACTTCGTGATAAGGACGTTGTGCATGGATAATAATTTTATCTGGTAATGTAGTATCATCAAGAAGTGATTTTTCAACCTAAGACAAACAATTTGAGTATATTTAGGCGATGTTATATTATGAATGTTCAATAATTAATTGTAAAACACTTACATCAAATCTTAACCAATCAGAAAATTCTTTCTTATGTCTTTTCTGAATATTGTGCGCTGCATTCCTACCAGTTGTTTCATTCTTAAGCTTCTCCAGATGTCGCCTATATAAACAATATATAAGTTTGTATTGATAAACTATATGTAAAATGAATATTTCTCATCTATATTACAGATTTTATTTGTTACCTTCGATAGTCTTCGAACATATCAAGGTTTTCCAACACATATGCATGAATTTGATCTAAGAGAGATCTCGGGTATTTTTCACGCTTCCTCTCCTTTTGAGGTGCTTGAGATGTGGTTTTCTTCTTACGCATGTAACGTGATGCAAACACAAAGCATTCGTTAGCCACGTATCCTTTAGCTATCGATCCCTCGGGACGAGCTCGATTGCGAACATTGTTTTTCATGCAGCCCAAGTATCTTATAATCATAAAAGTTAATTATTAGCACGGTAATTTGAAAAACGCGTATACAATTAATAAATATAAGAAAAATCGTAAATTACCTTTCAATCGGATACATCCAACGATAAGTAACAGGACCGGCGATTCTAGCCTCTCTTGCAAGATGCTGGGTAAGATGGACCATAATTGTAAAAAATGAAGGAGGGAATATTACTTCCATATTGCATAGAGTAACTCGGACATCGGCTTCAAGTTTCTTAAAGTCATCTACATCTATGACTTTAGAGCATAATTTTCTGAAAAATCCACAATACTCAATAATAATCTTCGACGCTTCTTTATCCATATTGTTACGGATTGCAACAGGGAGCAATTGATGGAGAAGAACGTGATAATCATGTGTCTTCAGACCTAAGAGTTTTCTCTCTTGCACCTGGACATTATTTGAAATGTTAGCAGAGTAACCATCCGGCGACTTTACCGATTTGAGAATTTCACAAACTCGTTGCATCTGCTCATTTGACATTGTAACACGAGACGGAGGCAACTTTAATTTTTTAAGGCCAACGTCTTGAGCTTGCAAATCATTTCGGATATTCAAAGCAGTCAGATCTTGGCGCGCCCGTAGATCATCCTTCGACTTGTTTGCATCTTGTAGGAGAGTTGATACTATGTTATCACATATATTTTTCTCAATATGCATAACATCTAAGTTGTGTCGGATTTTTAGATTCTGCCAGTAAGGTAGCTGAAAGAAGATACTAAATTTAGTCCATCCTCTAGGTAATGTTTGGGCTTCGTCCTCAACTTGCATTTTACGGACCTTTCGCTTACGCTTCAATGGCTGACAGATTAGCATAAGCTGGAAAATCATTAATCGTCCATAGTAGAATAGCACGTAATCTAAACGACTCTTTTAAATGGGCATCATATGCTAAAATACCCTCAGACCATAATTGTTTTAGCTCATCAATTAGAGGCTCTAAGTAGACATCAATATCATTTCCCGGAGCATGCTGAGAAGGTCTTTATTGGCTTTGTGGTACAAAATACAATCATTCGGACATGCATCAATCTTATTATAATCAAGACCCAGAGCAGAGATAATCTTCTCAGCTTGATAAGTTATTTGGGGTATGCTATTCTCTCCTCCAGGGATTACAGTTCGAAGCAAATCAAGAAGCATTTCAAAATAATTATCTGACATACCGCTAAGTGTCTTAATATGAAGGAGTTTCAGCATAAATGAAAATCTGGAGTACTCGGTACATCCCTCATATAAGTCCTTTTCACTATCTTCTAGTAACTCCATTATTCGCTTTATTTCTACGGAGGAATGCATATCATTATTTCTGCGGAGGAATGCATATCATCAATATTTTTGACACTCGCGACACCTCCTACCTCTTCGGCTTCAACTTCGTTATCATCTTCACTTTTGTCTCCAATATCATCCTCGACATTATCATCAACATCATATTCTGTAGGTCGAGGAAAAAATATCATTCAACAATGTTTCTGTGTCATCTATTCGTTGGCCACTGGACGTACCAACATGCATATTTGGATCATCATCTTCAGTGATACCCTCCCCATGCCAGTTCCAGTATTTATATTTCTCATCAAAACCTGATTTTATTAGGTGAATCCGTATATCATTTCTATTCAGCAGCTTCAAATTCCTACACTTACAACAAGGACAGTACATAGTACCACTTCTTAAATTTCTCGGATTCATTTCCGCATAACTCATGAAGGCTTCACATCCCTCCTTGTATCGTGTGTCGTGAAATCTACGATGCCTAGGGATATCTATCCATGACTTGTCAGGAATTATCCTCATCTGTAAATTATATATAAATATTAAATACGATTAGTCTCACAACTACTAATACATCCATTACTCTTATACATTCAACGCACATCAAACATACGTTCATATATCATTTAACAATATGAATATTTATCTACATAAAATATATATAAAACATATGTAAAAACTAATTACACTAATCTTGCGGATGTC